AACCACAATGCTGACAAGTGATTAATAAAAGTCAAAAGACCAAAGAGGTCACCTTAATACCAAAAAAAAAAAAAAAATTAAACAAAAGATGTTTTTTAGTTGTTTTTTTTTTTTGATATTAAGATGAGGGTGTTTTTTAGTTATAAAATAAACCTATTTTATTTGTTGTATAATTTTTGTCATTATTATCTAGTTGATAAAGAACTAATGTTAAAAATTATTACTTAGTTTTTTGATATTTTTTATCTTTTTCTTCATACTGTTTAATAATATCTTTTTTGAAAATATTAGTTCTCTAAGTAAATGCATTATCAAAATTAGCTGTTTTACATAATTTGCAAAACATTTACAAATTTTTATTGATTTCAAGATATTCTAACTATTCCTATTTTTTTAACCAAAAGGAAGAAAGATTTGTTAAATTTCACAGTTTTTTTGATTAAATGTTTGAGTTTCTAATTCATTAACAGCTTTATATTTATCTTTATTATCATATTTGAGTCTAAAATCTAATTACATAAATTTAACTTTATAACATGCTTATATAAAATTTGCTTTATTATAATATTTTATAAACCATTAAGTTTTAGTATTAATATATTCACTTTTTTACTTGCTTACTAAATGGCTTAAGAGATAAAAGATAAATTATAATCAATAAAATTACATAAATAGCTAATCCAAAGAGATTATTAATAATATTATTATGATTAAGAACAACTATATTTGATAATATTTTTTACTTGAACATGTGCTTAGTATAACCGAAGATAAATTATCATTATTATTGATCTGATCTATAAAATTATATAAATAACTAATCCAAAGAGATTGATGATGATATTATTATTAAAGTCGACATTTTTTTGCTTGAACATAACTGAAGATAAATTATCACTGTTGTTGATCTATAAAATTACATAAATAGCTAATCCAAAGAGATTGTTGATGATATTATGATTATATGATCAATAATATTTTTGCTTGGACATGTGATTAGTATAACCGAAGATGACTTTAATTGTGTAATATATTGTACCATTAACAAACTTTTTAATTTGCACAATTAGTTATGCAATTGTGCAATTTGTAAAAAAATTTTTTTGTGCATGTATTGTAAATTTTGTGCAAAATACAATACATGCACAACGAATTTTTAACACTGATACAATATACCCGGGCATAAATTAAAATTTTGATTATACTGAATGTAAAATACACATGTACTGTATAAAATACTATAATTATAATAAATACTAGTTTAGCTTAAATCGTACGTATTTAATAAACTTGGAAGATTTATTGATATTTATAAAACAATTAATAAAGTATTGTATAACAAAATCGAAATATACATATTGAAAAATATGTTAACAGATTTTCAATAAAATCTGTACAATATAAATATGTATGGTTATCAGCATTGGATTATTCAGAAAAAAATAAACCAAACCTACCTAAAAAACATCTTGAATCCAAGTTTTTCATCACTATATAGTCCGAATCTCAATCGGTAGCGAATATCAAGTAATGCTTAATAGAGCATGAAAAAAACGAAAATTAAGAAACTGTTGACAAATTCGCTAGAATATTGGTCTGATTCTAGTAACGTAATTTGTAACTATATTTCCAAATCGCGTTTAAGCCCGTATTGATGCAAGCCAAAGATTAATTCTCGGGAATGTATGCCCTACCTGAATATGTTCCAGCAGGAATTTTTTGAAGCCTTTTTGAAAAAAAATTTTAATAAAAAAAAAAAGAACAGCCTATGATTACTTTCCAAGAGATTTGACAGAACACAAGTGTCTCAAATACAAAAATATTTAGTCTATAAAATAGCATGTTGTGCATATATTATTGATCTGATTTTGTAATAATCATCGGATAATGATCCTTCCAAAATTAATTGCCCGTTCGGTGTCTAAACGTATGGAATCATAGGAAAACAAAATTTTAGTTTATATTTAAATTAATTATACATTAAAAGGTACGTCTACCTTTCGGACAGCCACTTTTTCATTACACACTAATACTCCTTCGTCTTTAAATTCTGCTGTTATGCCTTCTGACTGCAATACACGTTTCAATTCTGTTAACTTAACTTCTCCAACAAAGACAGGATTGTGAGTACCAGAACTTAGTTCTTCTATCGGCACCACATCCAATACTGGTAAAGAAGAATCAGGTGGAAAGGATATTTTTCCGTTTACAAATGCAATATCATAATCTTCAAGCTAATTATTTGAATGACATCATAAATTAATGACAGTAAAGTAAGACTTAGACTATCAAGATCGGTTGAATTTTAAAAAAATTACCTTTGAAAGTTTTAAGGAGCTAACTAAAGCATCGGTTAATTTAACCTGATAAAAATTTATAGCGGCTGATACATTTAAAACTTCACCAACATCGGGTGTGTAAATATCTCGTGTCATTGATCTTATCGCCAGACAACTCTGGGCAAAATCATTAGTTGCTTCTGGTGACGCATGGACTACAATCTTATAAGAACAGTTAGAATATTTTAATGTCATGAAATACTAATTAAATAGATGACAAGTTTATATTGTATTTCTAAGCTAACCAACTTCCTAGGCTGAACCTGTGGCACAATGGTTTTGAGAGATCTACCATCATTTGTTCCTTCTAAATCGATAAATCTCATTTGGCATTGAAATTTAATTTCTTGTTCATAAGATATATATTTTGTTGGAACATTTGACTCTGGGAAAGTATTCGTCGAATCTTCTTTGTCGAACTAATTAAGCCAAAAATTTTACAATCATTTAACAAACATTTGAAATTTGTTTATAAGATGGTGCAAATAAAGTATGTAAACCTTACTTCATCTTTATCACTACTCATATCAACTTTATCTCCATTGACATCAATATTTCCTGCATTTTCATCTACAATTCCCCTAGCGAACTGTTCCACTTGTATAATTTCTCCATAATCATCATATCTTTTTCTTTTTTCAACATAAGGAAACATTAAATAGCTCTGAGTCTGTTTAAAAAATCCTCCGTATTTTGTTGCATCACGCACATAAAGATCAAAATGCTTGGACAGTAACTCTTCTATATCTGTATCTCCTATCTCAGATTCAGATTCATCAGATTCGTCGTCCTCTATTATTGATAAGCTTTTTGCAATCAAAGCTGCTTGCGCTGCTTCACGTTCTTGCTTCTTACGAAGCTCAGATTTATATTCCGATAATTCTGTTCCTTCAAGAGGCACCTTCTTCTTTATCTATATTAATATGTCATGTAAGGTAGATGAATAGTTAATAACGGGATAAAAATTTTCATAAGTACAGTAGTAACGTTTGACATACCAAAAGATCCATTGTCAAATTTAAATTAACAGAAGGCTTAACAGGCCCATCATTCGACTGACTAAGCCTATCCCACTCATTATATAATTTTCTTGCCAACGAATTAGGTGATCCCCTATCAGTCAATATGAGAGCGTTTGATTCTGATGTTCCCCATTCAAGTAAAAGATCTCGTGCATATCCTGTATCCAAACTAGAGCTACTTGCAAGGACAACTTTAGGTCCTGGATATTTGGAAAGTTCTTTATACCTATGACACAAACGTAAATACCTAAATAGCGCGTATAATATTAGATTGTCATTAACTATATAAAAGCCGATGGCTTATTGTATAAATTCATATTTAAAGAGTTAAATGATATTTTAAATAATTATGAATTGATATTTCAGCGAACCTAAATTCAAATGGGTTTTCTCTTTTGCTATCAAATTGTCTATTGATAGCATCACTCATCCATTCAAGCATACTCTTGGCGAACTGTATTGTTCGATAACTTTGGTGAGTTAACAAGATAAGTGGATACGAAAATTGATAAAATGCCCAATGCTGATCCAAAAGATATGCTAATTCCAAAACACGAGCCGATGAATCTGTGGGTAATAAGACAGATCCCTTGTTTTTCATTGTATTAGTAATGGTATCTGCAAAATATAATTCATCTTAAAATAGGATTTAAAAGTTTTATTTAAAGAGTACACTAAAATATTCCGGGTTTAATATACCAAATAAGGCAGCGTCACGATATTTCCTTGCAGGATGAATTATTAAAGAATTGTATGCATCTGTAATCATTAAAGAAGGTCTACTTAACGCGTCTAAAACAACCCCATTATTATGTAATACTGTTCCGTCTAAGTGCCTACATAAAAGAATTTAAATATGAATAAAAATTTTAAGGTACAAAATAAAATAAATATCACCATACAACCTTTCTTTTTTGTGATTATAATCTACAGCGTATACAATCTCTTCAGTATCTTTTTTGATCTTCCATATTGTGCCACCTATAGTATGTCCAGCAGCATATGCCGTGATAGTGATGCCTTTACACTTCCCTAATATAAAGAATGAATAGATTAATTTAAAAATAAAACAAAATATAAAATTTTGTCTAACCAGTATTTACCTCCCAACACCATTGGTTGTGAATATTTTAATGTATTCACTTTTTCAAATGCAGCATCGACATTATCCAATGCAAAAGTTTCAAACTTAGCTTCATTCGTCTTTGATTGAAAGATATCATACATGCACATCCGTCCCATGTGAACTACTGGTACTGTCGCGTACACAGGACACGAAAGTCCAAAATGTCCGTATGCGTAAGGATAGGCACCCAAATGTGAAAGATCAGGATGTGAGAGAAGGAGTGCGTCAACCTGCTTAGCGACTCTATTTTTTTTTTTTTTTGCCGTTAGCCTCAAGTTAGCATCTTTGAAGACAAAAGTGATTACTTGCGTGATTTGCTAATCATTTTCGTTACTCTTGAAAAAAAATGCAAATTCCTACCTTCTTAAATGTTTTAAATCTTCTACATTAAATTCATCATTCCACCCACAGTCTAACATTATTCGAACTTCATCGTCTACTTCTAAAAGATAACATAATGCATCTTCATTTTTGGCACCAGATATAACAGTAAATACGATCATAGTTCAATGTTAAACCCGCAGTTAAATCATTTCATTTTATTTTGTTAACGTCGATCTTTTTATCACGTGAAAATCATACAAAACCTATTATTTACAAAGAAACCCTTCAATTTTTAAAATGGTAGATTTATTCACCGTTTTATTAGGTACTTAAACGTAAAATTCTTTACAGTTCTTACTATACATATTCTTTTCAATCTTATGAAATATCATCAAATCGATTATTTGCAAACAGAAATCATTACCCAATCGCCAGATGAGTTAATACCATGAATAATCTCCAAAAAGGAAAACTTAATAATATAAATTTTTTTTTTTTTTTTTTTGTTAAATTTCTATATAAAAACCCAATTTATAAACATTTACCAAATTTTCAAAAAGAAAAGATATAATAAATGCATAAAATGTATATCACCGAAAATGTATAGGACATTCACCACCTCTATCAAACCATCCCTGTATACAATGATAATGATATGAACATAAACAGTTCAGACGCGTTACGGTTTCGCCTATTGTTTTCATTAATAAGAGATAAGTAATTTTGTGAAAAATGTAATTTGTTAAATGAGTATAAAGGCAAAAGTAAAAAATGGATCGAATGATATTTAAACATATGACAAGTTTAGAATATCCTTACCGGCAAGAAATTCTTCGAAGCAGATGGGACATTCTTGGCCGACGAGGAAGTTATTTTGAAGGAGTTTATAAACTGTAGTAACAAAAGAGAGTTCCGAGTTTGCGTGGAATAGTGGTGATAGGGGAAAGTTTGATGGGAATGATACCAACACATAGGAAATAAGACAGAAACCGCGAATAAGTTATAATAATGTTTCGCCAACAATTTATGATAGGGCCTTTATTAGTTCTTTCTTTCTACCCTGCTATTTTCGTTTTGCTCAAACTACTAAATCATCTGCTCACCCACATATTTATAACCGCTAACGCTATTTCCATTCTTGTTTTCTAAACAGTTCCGGACGTGTTCTTCTTGGGCAGGTTTTCCTCCAACTTTGTTTAACGATATGCTACAAGCAGGGCATTCAGTCATTGTTGAACTATTACTCATACGTCTGCTGTTACTAACAGATGATGCACCTCCAGTTAATGTAGTTGATGTGAAGCTATTCGACCGTGGGCGTATAGTATGGCCCATTGAAGTATGACACGTGCTACACACGCGATGGTACTGAGAAGTTTGGCTGGCTTCACCATTTCCAGAAGGATTATGGAGAACCTGTTGAGGTGGCAAATGAACTCGTGCACTGGAACATTTAGCGCATACTACTTGCCCGCATCGCCTAATTTTTGTGCGCATTTATTAAATAAATTTAAACACTTAAAGTTAACCATATCTTTATATAATAATTATAATGCTTAATACAGACCTGCAATGATGTTTTCTAACAAACATACTAAACCTAACTCTACAACGGCGACACTCATTTACATCTTCATCATTTTCCCACTTGTAACCCGAAGATATAGAATGTCCAGGGACATTTGTCATGTTGACACTTGTTTGAGGATGTGCTCTGGCGGAGGACACAATCTGATTCTCGTAAATCGATGGTTGAGTAATACCAACATCTTCACTTTGAACAGCATTGGTCCAAGGATTCTCAATCGTTTCAAAGCTTGCAGTTGATGGCGCTCGAAGATTGGTAATGATACCCGTATCAGCTGTTTTCGGAGACTTTGGTAATATATCTGACCGAAATGGTGTTGGAGTGGGAGATGGGGACTTTGACAAATTTGGAGTTATTGGGACATCATGAAGACTTGGACTTCGTGGAGTAACATCAATTCCCTTTACCATATTTTCCAAATATTCGGCATGTTGCATAAAGCTGCTAACTAGTGATATAGCTTCTTGTTTTCGTTGTACGTTTTGATCGGCTACAAATTTTAAAGAATAAATTGATTATTATAATGATAAATTTGTATAAACTAGAAAATATGAAATAAAATTATGAATACTTTTAATTCCTGATGATAAAATTTCGATCGCTTCTTTATACCTTGTTAACTGTTCAGTGAATGAAAGATCAACGGCCTTTCCTTTACTACTATTATCGGAATTTTTTTTAACAATAGATTCAGCTTTCTCAATATAATCCGGAGTATCATTTTCACTGTTTGAAACAAACTGTAATCCACTTTCAGTGAGATCCATACGACGTTTCATAACACGCACCCATCTCCTCCTTCGGACCCAACCACTACTGTTTGATTGTGGTGTTGCAGTCCATACTACGTCAGGATCATCAAAACTTTTAGAGTACTGCCACCCTTGTGAGTCTACACGCGGATGAGTAAAATCAATCTGCCAATCTGTGACCCAAAACCAAGGTCTTTGAGAAGGCTTTGACAAAGTTGTATTTGAAATAATCGAAATAGACGATGATATCCCCGATGGAAGTTGAACACTTTCCTTATATTGAGGTCTCCCGCTAGGATGATGGGACCAAGGACCACGAACATCACTTTTCAAAAGGCTATTAGCCGAATATTTTGAAGGGCCACGAATAGATAGGCCAAAAGAACCTGATGATCGTTGATTTTCATGGAGAACAACGGGTACTGTAATGTGAAATGTATAAGGATCATATGGTTGATTCGTATCCGGTATATGCATAAGGTCGTTTAAGGAGGACGCTGTAGGAGATAAACATTAATAAAAATAAAAAGAAGTGAAATAAAAAAAGAGCCATGTATATATTTCTTAAAACCCTACCTTCCGGCACTGGTTTTTTACCCTTCCACCATTCACGTTCAGCTTTTTCTAGCAATTCACAAATATATACTTCTTGGGAGGTAGCAGCTGCATCATATGCTGTTTCTCCAAAACTATTTTTAATAAGTGGGTTTGCACCACCACGATCTAAGAGATATTCGACGATATCAACATGCCCCTTTGACGCAGCATTCACTAGAACGGAAAATCATTCGTTAGCACGTGACTTAAATAATACGGTTATCCTTAATTACGCATCATAAATGATGTATGGTGTATAGTTGCTTGCAAAACAATCATCACGCATGAAAACAATTACTGGCATGTGAATTCACACGCCATAAGTTGCATGATTATTTAACATCAATTTGTTTCGATGACAGGCTGTATAGTGGAGATAATCTAACTCACTTAATGGAGTATGCCCTTTGTTGCTTTTAACATCCACATCGGCATTAGCATTCTCTAGTAAATGTTTAACAATCGGCAAGTAACCTTGAGCAGAAGCATTATGTAAAGCAGTCCATCCATCGCTATCCTTTTGATCAACATTGGCTGTCTTTTGCAAAAGCAAATCCACAACAGCTGCATGTCCATTGTAAGAAGCTTTCAGAAGAGCTGTCTATATGAAAACAGTTGATATAAAATATTGAAGTAGTAGTTCCGTTATTCTATAATTTTGGACGTACCTCACCGGTCTGGTCTTCAAGATCTACAATAGCACCAGCATCGGCAATTAACCACTTTACAATTTCTAGGTGGCCACGCGAGGCAGCATAGTGTAGTGGAGTTAAACCGGAAGATGAGCTTGCTTCGTTAGCAAGTAAGAAAGAGGAGGTAGTTTCACCGGAACCACGAGGATCTAGCAATTCCTTAACTCTATCCATATTCCCAGCGGCAGTTGCTTCATGAATAGTCGTGTCATTTTCCACAGAACCATCAATGTCATTTCGAGAAGCACGAGAAGTCTGAGTGTTGGTATTAGAGGGGAGTTTTACCTGTTTTTTATGGATATTGCCGTAATAACGGTGACTCTCCCCTGGAATGGGTGGGTGAACAGAATCAGGAATATCTGGAATTCGTAAGGTGGGAGCAAGTGGTGGAGAAGAAACCATAGTGAGAAGCGAAAATCAAAAGTGAAAAAAAAATATATATATCGATATTATTTGTAAGTTTTAACGTTAAACGTTAAAATTCCGTATATTTGTTATAAGATGCCATATTATGGTCACAAGTCGTAGTACAAACTTTATCCTTTTGAACTTTGCACATTAGTGAACCTATATCGGATGTAGTATTGATAAGTAGGAGGCAATAATGGCAACCAAAAACCAGATAGCAAATCTATTATAGTAACGGATTGTAACTGGTTTTTTCTGCATAAATTATCTAGTTCTCCTCATGTACTCGTATTATTAATATTAGCGTTAGGTTTAAGCTAAATTATAGATTCTCGCATGCCTTATATTGCAAAATTTGGTCTTCAATAGTTGTGCCATCTAAATGGTTCAAAGAATACTTTCAAGTTTATTAAGTTTACAAAGTTTACTGCTAAATTCGAAATTTTCCGTCGGCCAATAAAAATGTGCAACTAATTGAACGTGTCGGTTCATAGACAGAAGTTTGTCTGATTGGTCAATTTTTACATTAGCAGCACCGACTGATTGAAAAACATTGTTACACGGATTTTTTATATTGTTTATAATAGAACCTTCAACTTGAAAGTGGAAAAATTTTCTTTTTTTATAATTAATACGTATGGCTTAAAATTTCGTTAGATTGTACTTTAAAAACTTAACTTTATATTCCGTTTGACATCCAGTCGGTTCACCTTGTCTTAGAAGCAATTCTTGCAATACCAACATGTAACACAAAGTTAGTATATTGAATTGTTTAATTTTTTAGAACGAAGTGACTAGTAAAAATCTTTAGTTTTTTTGATTTAAAGTTTCTAATATACATGTACAAGGCGAAAGTAAAGATGATCAAAATTATCAACCTGTTTTACACTATATCGAAATATCGAAAAGAAATAGTAATATAATGAATAAATTGTAATTTTAGCCAATCATATACTATTTTTACAGAGTTGTTAATTTCTGATGTGTTACAGTCAACTCTTTCTATTCTGTCAAAATGTTCTTTAAAGATTTTTATATATGAAAATTTTTATAAATTCATTCATAGAGCTATACATTGCTAATTCAAACTTTATAATAAAAGTTACAAATGTTTTAAAGTTTTTTGTTTAGTTTAAAAACAATTTTTTTTTGTTAAAGATTTTATTAATATATTGAAGTTAATTATTACAACTATTTTTTTAGCAATAAGAGTATAACTAGTTATATATAAAATTTTTAATTGTTTATTTTATATAGTTTGCTTTAAAGTTTAATATTAGCTGTTATATTTATAATTTACTAAAATATTATTTATTTAAATTCTTTAATTATTTGTTTTGTTAATTAGCATTATTAGAAGTAAAATAGAATAGATATTACAAATCATTAAAGATTTTAAACTTAATAATATTCAGATAAATATAAAGAAGTCAAAGTTAATTATTATAAATTCAAACAAATCTAAAGAAAACAGAAAAATTAAACTTAATAATAAATAGCTTTAGAAAAAAAAAATCTAAAATAAAAAAAATTTGAAAATTTAATTTAATAGCAAACTAAATAAAAGTTAAATTAAGATAAGAGCAAAAGACTTAGTACATTTAACAACAAAATTTTAAATATTAAAAAAATAACAGAAACAAAAGTATTATATATAAACAATACATATATAATAACTAGAGTTAGTCAAATCACTGATTGACCAAAAATTTGTTGGTCGAACTGGTCTGGTCAAATTGGTCAAATGGTCTGGTCAAATTGGTCAAATGGTCTAGTCTATTAAATAAATAATTTTAATATACAAATAAATAAACAAATATATTTATATACTTTATATATTATTTGATCAATTTGACCAATTTGACCAATACTAAACTTTTTGACCAACTGGTCAAATTGGTCAAACTGGTCTGGTTAAGCTTGACCATTGACCAGTCTATGCCAACCCTGATAATAACCTCTAGGGTCGATAGCATAGCAGTTATACTCCAAAGTTACAAATTGCAAGGTTGCTTGTTCAAATCCTAGTGACAGCAATTGTAAAAATGCATTTCCAAAAATAAGAAACTGCAACACTGTAGAACCAAGAATTCAGAATGTCTACAGACAGACTTATTTTCAGAAATAGCAAGTGATTTGCAATTGAGAAGACAGACATGAGTTAGAGCCTAATTTGGAATAACTGAAATCATAAAACATAATATAAGGCTAAAAGTCTAATAATGAGAGATACTATATGAACTCATAGTGATAACTGGTTCTTGATAAGCTTAATAAAGCTTTTTGGTCCTGGCAGAGGTTAGTGCAACTGTTACTCTTGTAAAATTTAAAATTACAGACCAGAAAGATCAAGATTCAAGAAAATATAAATATGAAGAACAATAGTTCAGAATATGAAGAACACATAGAAAAATCTTAGCAAAACAAGTCAAAGAAGAAAAAAATATATATATAGATATATATAGCATTAAAGTTAATCTATATATATGTTTAAACTATAAAACTATTCAAAAGAGCAATAAATACTATTTAAAACTTTATAATAGGCTTAACTAAATATAAATTAAAAATCAAAAAAAATAGTAAATAATAATATAATTATATACAAAAATTTAGACAATTGTAATATATTATAGAACTAGCTATTAACAAAACAGATTATAAGCCTTTATATAAAACTTAATTTAATAAGATTAAAGAAATATTAATAAGAATCAAAGTAAAAAAAAGTCTTTTATTCATAAGTACAACAAAAGAGAAATAGTATAAAAATGCATTAAAAGTATTTAGTAATTTATGAAAAAGCAACTTAGTATATTAAATTATATTAAGAACAAAGGATTTATAAATAATATTTTAGTTTAACAATATAAATATAATAAAACTAGTGAAAAAATAAAAATTATAAAAACATTAAACAAGCATATAATGATCTAGTAAATAGTCAGATTGTCAGCCCTTCAAGTGATAAGTTGAATATTTAAATCTCATTAATAACAAAAATTTAAAAAATTATCTATATAATAGTCATATTATAGTAACTGTTACTAATAATTAGGTTAGAATATCTGTAATAGCAGTCATACTAGTATAACTAGCAGATTATGAAGTATCTGTATAATTATACAAAAAAATGAAATTAACAATCAGGTAATGCAAACACTAGATAAGTTCTTGTAGCTATATAAATTTATTAAAATTAGATAACAAGAAGTCTATTTAAAAAGATCTGAGTAGAAAGATAGTTAGATCTTTAATAGTGTTACTGTAAAGGCTAATTTGAAAAGATGAATACCAAGGTTGTAGTACCTAAATAGGCAAGAATCTTTATATTAAAAAAGACTTAAAGGTACTACCAAACAGACCATCAGATTGAACTAAAGGAAAAAGATATCAAGCCAACCTGATATACCAATAAATTGGTTGTAGTTCTATATAAACTATCTGAATTGGAAGTCTGAACAAAAGACAAAAGTATACTAAAGTACTAGTATTATATTGTGAAATAAATGCTAGAATTTGAATAAACTCTACAAGAGCATAACAGTTAAATAATATAACTCTGATTACAAATATTAGTTCTGCTATAATGATATCTAAATCAGTTATAAAAATAAATACAAAATGCTCTGAGAAGTTTACTTTAAGAATAAAATAATCCTAAACTTGAAATAATAATCTGAATATTTAAATATAACTTAGTGATATTAATATAAATTACAAATTCAGAGAATTTAAAGTAAAATACTCAAACAGAAAAATTAGATATAACAATTAGTAAAAAACTTTGAGCAAACTTCTTAAATAGATAATATAAAAAAATTATATATGTAACTAATTATATGCTTTTTTATAATGGTTCATAGAATCATATTACCAAAAAAGTCATTAATAAAAGTCAAAAAACCAAAGAGATTACTTTAATAAATAAAATAAAAAATAAAAAAAAATAAAAGTATTAAAAAGCAAATTTATATTGCAAATAGTTTTATTACTAAAAACCTTAATATAATTTTAATAAAACAACTTATTTTTATTTTTATTTTTTTTAAATCTTTGGCAGCCTTGCTGATCACCTTTATTAAGAGTCTTATATACATAATTTTGTACAAAGTTGGCTTAAATTTTGGCTTGACACCCCCAGCTGCTTCTATGAATGCCCAGGAGTAATCTGTCATACTGGCCAGAGGGTTATACCAAGCTAGCCATTAGAACCATAAAAGAATGGTCATATCTTTCTTTTTATATAATCCCTAACTGAATCTAACCAAGAACTTTGTATTTTTTCTTTTTTTTCTTTTTTCTTTTCTTTTACAGTTCAGCCTTGATCCTTTTCTAAAACTTCTTTATCTATTCTTTTTATTGAATTTCTTACTGTATTACTTCTTGGAATGCTTTCTTTCTTTTTTTGTTTGCAGGGCTAATTCTGTTTGTCTTTTTCTAGTTGGTAACTGCTTCATAGTATTTCTTTTATATATTTTCAAAGAAACCATTCTATACTGTATTTGTCTATATTATTATAAACTCTTTAGCTTTTTTTAAAGTTTGGGTGAGGCTTTGTATTGTTATTTTGGCTTTTTCTTAGATTAGTCCTTTTATGCTTTTGGATCTATATTCTTTTTTTCCTTCTATAGAGTTTTTTTATAAGATTTTCATTAGTTTTAATTTGCTTGTTTTCTTCTGAATTTCTTCTAAGAGCACTGACCAAGCCAAATTAATAGCTAAATTTTCTGTAATGGCCCAATCTTTTTCATGACCTTTACAAATAGCTAAGTGTTCTTGGTCTTTTTCTTGGTCTTCATTACATAGAATGCAGTATGGCTTTTTATATATATTTGAACATCTTATTGCTAGAGTTTTTAGTACTGATAGTTTTTTATTAACACATTTGATTAGTATTGTAATTTCTCTATTCTTCTTTATACTTATATATCTGATTCCACTTTGATTTCTAACCTTTTTTTATAGTAATAACCAGTTGTATTCTTCTTTTT